ATGAAAAAATATTACAAAAATATGTCATATTAAATCGACACCAACATTTCGACACCTTTTGTGCTGCTCAGATATTAAATAAATTTATGATTACTTTAAAGAATTACTTTCTTTAAAGTAATCATAAATCTTACTTCTTTTACTTCCTAAAAGAATTTTCTACATTTACTCTAAAACAGTAGTTCCCAAACTTATTTTTCTCGTGGGCCACTTTCAAAATTTTACTGGTTTCGGTGGACCCCCTGCTGCTACATTTCTACCACATTCTTAAAGTCGCCAAAAAATAAAAATTGTGTCACTTCTGAGTTCTGTCCCTATATTCCGATATGTAAAATAAAAACGAAAAATGGTACATTTTATATCACTTTATTTATTAAAAGAATAGAATTACAAGAAAAAATATTAAGGTAATATAGGTTCAGGTCATAATTTTAATTAATGGGAAGGATGTATCTGATGGAGTGTCAGCAAACGATCAATGTTTGGCTTTATTTTTGTGAGCAATAACCGCAAATCCCCCCGCTCTGTGATGTTTAATTTGCTCCTTTTTTTTGTTAAGAGGTTTGTAACGGCACTAAAACTCCTTTCGACAAGGTATGACGAGGGAAAAGCTATTAAAAATTTCCTTGCGATTTCCCACAGTCCAGGATATTTTTCGGGTATTTCTGCTTGCAGCCAAAATGTTGGGTAGCCTTTTCTAAATTTCACCTTCAGCTCCTCATTAGTGCTTAGCTCGAGCAGCTCCTCTTGTAATACAACATTGGCCACTTCCGTTTCATCAAATGGATTTATGATCCATGGTGGTATATCCATCGTCAGTATATCTTCAAACCTGGTTTTGAAGTCATCATGCAGAGCACTTAAATGTTGACTGTAGGTATGGATATCCTCATCAATACATTCTACCTGCGACAAGTTTGGAAATTGAGAGAATTCGCGCCGACTAATGTTTTGCTTCATAAATTTCAATTTCCCAAGAAAAGCCGAAATTATCCCCTTTGTTTTTATTAAATTCAGGCTGTCCCCTTGTAACTGCAAGTTAATATCATTAAATTTTTTAAACAAATCTGTCAAATACGCAATGTCTGCTTTGAATTTGATCAAGTTTTCTTTTAAATCTGGATCTCTACTTTCTAAGAACTCTAATATGGAATCGAAAACAGAGTAAAATCTCGTTAAGCATGCACCTTTCGACAACCAGCGTACTTCAGTATGTAAGAGCAGTCGTTGGAAGTCTTCATCATTTTCGTCGCACAATTGAGCAAATAAACGCGTATTCAATGCATTGCTTCTGATTTTGTTGACAGCTTTTATTACAAAATGAAGAGATTGGTTCAACCTGTCACTTAAATGTTTTGCCACAAGATGTTGTCGGTGGATTACGCAATGAATAGCTGTAAGTCCTGGTATAATTCTTTTGAGATGACTTATAAACCCACGATATCGCCCGACCATTGCAGGAGCTCCGTCTGTTGCCACTGAAATAATGTTTGTAAATGGGATCGATTTTTCCGTAAAAAAATTACTCAGGACATTAAATATTGATTCGCCTTTAGTGTCAGTCTCCAAAGTTCTGGCAAATAGCAATTCTTCGTGAATTTCTTCCTCAACAATAAATCGGACATATGCCAATAGTAATGCTTCATTACTGGGTAACGTTGACTCGTCCAGTTGTATAGAAAAATGAGTTTTTTGCAGATGATTGCACAAAAAGCTTTCGATATCAGAGCTCATTTCATCAATGCGTCTTTGTACAGTATTGTTACTTAATGGAATTCTTTTTAGTACGTCAAATGGAGATTTGTGCAAAACAGTTTTTAAAACCTCTTCAACAGCGGGTAAAATTAATTGTTCTCCGATAGTGTGCGGTTTTCCAGATTTTGCTATAAGTAATGAGATATTGTAAGATGCCCGCAAGCCATCATCGTTACTTTGAGATGTTGAAGCGAACATACTGTGCATGGTGGGTCTCTTTCCATATTTTTCTTTCAATGTTTGAAAATATTTTAAATCTTTACCTATTTTATCAGTATGACACCTTTTTAGATGATCTTCGAGCTTTGATGGTTTCATAGAGTCATTGCTCAAAACTTTGTTGCATAATAGGCACATGGGCAATTGTTTGTCTGCCTCTGATGGAACAAAACCATATTTCAAATAATCGATACTATATTGTCGACATTTTTTCTTTGCTGTAGCCATGTTTCGTGTCAGTTACCTTACCTGTAAAAAAAATGTTTTAGTAACCAAGTTTTTTCTGAATATAGGTATCACACCGCAGCCTTTGTCAGCACGCGGAAATAGAATTACGGCTTGTAAAGGGACCAACTAATAAACCGCTGAGACAAATACAGACGTTTTCACAAAACGGTATCAATTTTAAAAGTACATAATTTACCACTAATTTTTAATAGTATAAATAAAAATTGGTGTACTCAGTATCGAATACTGATCATATTTGTGTAGGAAAAAATAAAAGTCGAAATCCCAAAATTGTCCATAAAAACGATAACTAACATTTTATTAAATCAATGAGTTCACGCGCTCCGTGTATTTGCGTATTTTTGTCTGCGGCTTCATTGTTAAAACGTGACAAACTGGCATCGAAGTCAAGCCCCGCCCTTTTCCCGTCGCCCGCGCACCGCTCGCTCTTTCCGAAAAGGAATAGTTTTGATAAAATAGTTACTTCAAAACCAATTTAAAATGATTATGAAATTACTGTTTTATAAAATTAGTAGTTATTTGCAAGAAAAATTACAAAATTAATTGCTCTGCAATATTGCTTATTCGGCCTTTTTAGAGAGGCAGTGTTTCTCTCGTGAAAAAACAATTGAATAAAACGTGCTGTGTTTGTCTTCAAATCGAAAGAGGACAATTAAAATATCTGTAAGTTACTAAGTTACCTATCTATACAGGCCGTTGTGATCAACCGACTAGTACACGTAAACAAAATACTTAAGTACTATAACAAAAAAAAGGTAGGTTACTTACTTTTCTCCGGCACTAGCAAACACAGATATAAATTTTCTCACAACTTTTTTTCCAAATTCCGCCTTTTTTTTTGAAATTCCGGAAACAAATGAATGCGTTTGCCTTTGGCATCAAGTATTTATAGTGGTGATCAAGTTCATGTCTGAACAAGCATTAAGCATTGTCGGGCGGATAGCGCTTTGCAAGTCTGTACACGAAATTGTACGTAATATCGAATACGCAAGTTTGGACAAGTAACAGTCGCTTGCCTTATTAAAATATTATCTGCTTAGATAGGTACTTAAAACAATGTAGGTAGGCCCTTATAAAAACTATGCTTACATTTTTGCTCTTTACTATCAAAAGCAGATAAATTTTCGTGGACCCCCATTAACATCTTATGGACCCCCATTTTTTGTTCACGCCTACGTAGACCCCCAGCAAGTCTCCCGTGGACCCCTGGGGGTCCACCTGGACCACTTTGGGAATCACTGCTCTAAAACATCAATTAATGCCTCATCTAGCACGCCGTACAACGTGATGCAGGCCGGGCGGTATAGCGCGGCGTCTCTAACTACAGCGCGCGCACGGGTACTGATAACTTTAAATCAGGATAACTATAAAACTATTAGTAATAGAAGGTTGTAATAAGTTTTAAAAACCTTTTCAATATTTTTTCTTTATTTCATACGCAGATACTATGTAAAAATTCCTTCAAATAAAAAAGTTTCTCGCTTACCGAAAACAATGATACAATAAAGTTAATGTTTGAAGTTTAATCCATTTTCCAAAAAAAAAATACCCTTACTATGGAACTTTAATTACTTCAGTTATCACCGCCTATGTGTTCCCAATCGATTAAAAAAAGAGTATGTGAATAAGTTGATTAGTTTAGGAGTTATCGCGTAGGAAAAGTAAAAAAACATGGTTATACCTTTTTGACATTTTCCGGGATAAAAAATTTGTGTCCCCGCCAAAAAGGTCGTAATTAGTCATTTCACATGCACAAAGCCCTAACCGATCATTTCATAACGAGTTTATGTGGTTATACCTTAAAAAAAATTTCCAGAAGGAAGCGACTTTTCTCATTGATTTTACTCCACTAAAATGTAGTTTTCATTTTATCCACTTCCTAAAAGCTTGCTTTAATGGAACAGATTTCTGTTTTCTCTAATTTACATAATAAGACATCATTTACCAGAAAAAAAATACAACAATCATAAAGTTTTTTCTCTTTCCATATGTCGCCGATTCTATTATATCTATAGAATAGATCGTGTTTTGATTAATATTAGGGTTGTAAATGTTTGACTAAAATTAATAATTTAGTATTAATTTCAAAATGAAATACGAAATTTCGATTATTAAAATTTTCTCTATACCATGTATTTTATTATTTTTATCGTTTTTGGACTCATCTTTTTTCTAAACTTTTATTTAAAAAACCTCTGCTAAATCTTAATAAAATATAAAAAGTTTAAATACGATATATTTTTAATTGAATTATAGCTTCATTAAAATAAAAAAAAATACCCGGCTATGGTACGGGGAGTTCAGGTGTACTGAGGAACGAAAGACAGTGTTGCGTTTCTCGTCAGAGTCGTGTGGGAACGACCGTTACGACGAAGACAACCTATCTATCGTTCGTGTCGCACTTGTTAGAGCCTAAAACAATAACACAACAATAACAAAACATTGTCTGACCGCATTTCCAGCTATTTATGAATGAGATGCTCAGTCTATATTTTATTTTAAGTCTATGGTTGAGCCACTTTTAAGACGCACCCGGTATATAAAAATAAACAAAGTTAGCACATCCATTTCAAATATCACATTGATCTTATTTATGCCACTGTATTTTAATACAAATGTATTTTACATCAAATTAGTTCTTTAGTATATTTATGCAGCTGTGTGGTAATTAGTAATATTTTAATATCTCTTTCCTTTTTACCTTGTGTTGTAAGTTATAATTTTTATAATTGTTAATGTATTTATTTTTAAATGATAGGTACTTATTATTTTTTTAGCTAATGGTACATGACATATTGATTGAAGTATAGGCGTCTTGAAAGTTATGTAAATAAGTATCCTGACTTGGACAAATAGTTTTTTGAACACATATTTCACTTATAATGGATTGCAGAGCTGCCAGGACTTTGAAACATAAGGTTCTTTTGTTTTTCCTGGTGAGTATTTCTAAAACATGATTTTTAGCCTTGAACTAATCTATAAAATTATATTTTACTAGTTGAAGCCTGGCGCATCCGCCACATCAGGAAAAAATACTTTTTTTTAAATTAAATGAAAAACAAAATCTGGCGACGGCAGTTTTTAGAAGAGCCAATTAGCTATTTTTTAGTAAAAAAAGCAACTTTCTAGCGCAAGTCGTTACTTCACTAGAGACGACACAGATAAACATTAGCATTTTATACCGGATGTTGCATCGTCGGACGGGACATAGGAAATTCCATGTAAATTTTATTGGGGTAAATTATTGGCTTCCCTAATTATTTTAGAGAATAATTCTATTTAGGTTTATTGAAGAGCACTAAAACCCACTTTCAAAAGAATAACTTTAGATATTTTTGATAGCTCGTTTACGAGTTATCGCCGATTTCTTTTTGCCACGCCCTTTCTTATTCGAAGTTCAATAAAACACAAGTTTACTTAATCTGAATGAGTTGCATAGAGGCCACTAGCTTTTTAATTTTAACAGCCGGGTGGTCGGGGTTCAAAGATATTAATAAAAGGGCGCCACGAGATTATACTCTATGAACTCGGCAATAAAGATGTAACTATTAAGTAGACTTCAACACTAACCTCGAACTGTTGAGTGCAACTATCATGAACTTCAAATATTCTATAACTATTTGTACTTAAGTGACTCTAACTTAACTATGAGACTAGACTGTAAATAATACTACTAAAAATATTTAAGCAATATATTGAAATATTAAAAAGTTAAATAGGATATATAAAAAGTTATTATATAAAGAAAAGAAATGAATGAAATGTAATTCAAGGTAAATGAAAATAGATGTAAAGTGAAATGAAATTTAAATCAATAAAACTAAAGTATGACGTCATAATCCCCCTTACTTAAACCCTTGTTTATATATTAATAGTTAGTCAATGAGCCTGTATAAGTCGATGCTGCCAACTGGTGGCAGAAATTAAAACGTAAAAAGGGGCGGAGACTATTGAATTTGGCAAAGAAGTAGGGACTAGGAATTCTTCGAATTTAATTCTCGGTAAAGAATAAAAATATCTTATCTGATTCGAACCGAATTTATACCTCAAAGCGTTATTTACATTTTTTATTTTTGGACATGGATTTATATTTATTTTGATTTTCATAGCCACTTGTTGGATACTAAAGTATTATATTAGGTATATAAATATTTTATTTTTAGATGGATAATTAAAGAATATAATATGAAACTATACCTACCTACGTCTGTAACTTTGTAAAAAGTGTGGCGGATTTAACATAATGTTTTTTTTAAATGTAACATCCTATTTTATTTTAGATTCTGCGTAAAATTCTATTACTTTTTTTACGTATATTTCTTGTATAATGGTGTAACCTAAAACTAGTTTTATAATATTTCAATTTGTTGATGAAGAAAAAATATTAGATATTTATATGTAGATATTTAAGGTAGAGCTACAGGGTGTTCAATATATATTTTTGAAATTCGACTACGTATTTAAAATAGAAAAATATCTGCAGATTCTTTCAATGACGCAGCCTATACTGAGTGTTTTTTCAAAAGCGGTTCACCTCTATAACTTTTTTATTTTTTCAGATAAAAAAATTAAATTCGGGGTTTACCAATTCGGAATGTTAGTAGGTATATGACATAAATCGAGATTGATTCGTATTCCGTTAGTTTCGGTCACTTCCTGTTTCACCGGAAATGTATACGAGTACAACATTTGATTTTTAAATGGTACCCTCGGTATTTTTATACTTTATTTGATAGAAAATGACATTCTGAATAGAATGACATATATCATATGTCAACTTTTGACATTTTCAATTAAAAAAAATAGCATTTTAAAATTCAATCTAGTGTCATGGCTGTGTTAAAACCATTAATTTTTAATCAAGGAGCTTCGGAAAAATTGATTTGATCGTCTAATATTTTTTGTCTTTTCCTTTTTGGTACCTGGTAAATAGGTAATTTGGTACCACACACTTCGTATATCGAGTCAAACTGTCGTTACCTTTACAACCGGTTACATGTTGTTTTTTATCATGGCACTCTAGATTGTAATTTAAAATACAATTTTTTTGAGTAAATATGTCAAAAGTTGACATTAAATCATTCTATTCACAATGCCATATTCTGTCAAATAAAGTAAAAAAATACCGACGGTACCATTTAAAAACCAAGTTGTAGTCATTTCAGGTGAAACAAGAAATAACCGAAACTAATTGAATACGTCAATCAAGCCACGTTTGAAAAACACCCGGTATATTATAATTTCTTCTGATAGATTTTACAAAATTCTTCAATTTCTATTAATAATGTCATATAACTATATAAATTACTTTAATGCTTAATAATAAATAATTTTTGTTTTGTCATGGCAAAACTTGTTATAGTGTAAATGAAGTAAAAGAAGGATAAAAATTGAAAAATTCAGAACAGATTGCAAGCTGTATAGAGTATAGATGTACTTAATATACTTTCTTAACAAATGTTGAAAAGTTTTGTAAAATCACTAGAAAAAATAATAATATATAGGATCAGCCAAAAAAAAACTGTTTGAACACAGTGTTGCATCTAACTCCAAGTATTTTTACATATATCTTTTTCTTCGCCTCTGTAAAACACTCCTACCAAATTTGTATAGCCCAACTTCGGAAACAACTGACAATTATGTAATATAGGAATAATTTTTTTTGCAAATACTAACGTTATTTATAAAAAAAAAGTTATAGAATTTTAGGCAGAATCGAAAATAAAATAAAGGTTATAAATAAGAGTTTTGCATTAAAAAACATGTTACATTATATCCGCCACATTTTTTGAAGCACCCATTATACTCAAAAATAATATTTGAACTGTGTCTCTTAAGATTCTCTATACCCTTTTTTGTGAATTCCCAAAACAAACGAGATAATTAACTTTATTTATTTCCTGATATCTCATTTTATAATATTTCGAAAGAATCAATCAGGTATCTTATTTTTATAATTATTAGAAATAAATCGGATATAAAGGATAACGGATATATATGTAAGTGTATACCATACGATAAAAAAACGGCGTCAGAGGTGGCTTGGAAATGAATATCGATGTCATATATTTGTACGTAAACAAATAGACGCCGTTTTTTTTCGCTCATACCGTATAAGAAAACAAATTTAATAAAACAAACGCATTTATTAATATATGTATATAGATTTACATGGTATGAAAAATTCGCATTTTAATCTCTGAAGGTCCTACCATGGACCCACCAATGGTTGGTTAAAGTGGCGAGTACGACCACTTAGCAGTCACACCTATAATAATTTAATAAAATATGAATATAATAAACAAACTTATTTCTTTTAAATTTTTTAAAAGCGAGTTATATGTGTTTTTGATTATTTTAGACTAAATTTTTTAGACATATGATTATTTTAGACCAAATTGTCTGCCCACTCAAACGTCTTTCAAAATTATAATGTAGGAAATTCTTAATATGTTTTAATTGGGAATACTTTTAGAAAGTTTCATTTTCACCAAACAAAACTATGTATGTATAATAAATTGCAGTATAATCAACTATAATGCATGATATATACTGGTGGCGTCAAAACTAGATGTTGGGTTTTTCTCGATTATTTCAAAGAGAACTCCACATTTTATGACATAAACGTAGTTTTTTCCAACTTTGTTTTGAAAAATAATTTTTAAATCCAAATAATCGATATTTATACAGTAATGTCCTCTTTTGGAATACATAATTATTTTCAGCTGCAGCGATAAAATAAATAATATTTACTGATACGCTAAGTAAAAAAATAATTAGGAAATTATTTTAGACATCTAATTCTTAATTTTTGTCGCTGATAAATATGTAGATACATCACTTTTAACGACAAACCTACTAATAAAAATTGCGAAAAACAAATCATGTTTATTCTCAAAGAGACAATTTTGAGAACAATCCAATAACTATTAATCTGGGATATAGATCTTAACAAAACAAAAGTTGGATAAAAGATTTGTTGATTTATGATATAAAATACAGTGTTCCATTTGAAATAGCAAAGAAAAATATAATATATAGTTTTGACTCATCCTGTATATAATACAAAAAAAATAATATAAAGAAAATTTAATCATATAAATAATTTAGGAATTTAGCATATTTTTATATAATTATATGAAGAGAACATTACCTTAAATTAGTTCCAGTAAAAAACTTCCATATTACTTATTTTTAACTTAGAAAGGGCTTTAAATATATATTTTATTATATAAACAAAAAAATTTAATCCAAAAATGGTCAAAATGAACTCTATACGATTACGACATTATAGTATTTTCTGGAATGACAATTTTTTGACAAATTCACCAAGAAAAAATAAAAAATATAGCTTTTCTTTTGACAAACTATACAACTCTAAAGTAAATATGTATTTAAATCTACGAATCATCCTGTATATCTATAAAAATACCTCCCTGTCAAATTTACGCTACTTTTGCATGCAAGCATACCTATTTTACAAAAATATGATTTGAGTGAAAATATAAAATAGGAAATCTGATATGAAGCTTTATCTAAACACAGGGTTGAGTGTAGATAAACAATATTTTACGTTATTAATTAAGAAAAATTATAAAATACACAATATATCTGACAGTTCCAAAAAAGCAAAGTAAGAAATGAAACATAATTTATAGCATAAAATCAGTATTTTTTAAATTTTTAAGTCAACTGGCCATTATCGTTTAATCTATCTATCAATCTATCAAATTTAATGTTTATTATTAAACTTATCTCAGACTCTCTATGAGTAAAACTCTAAGATAAAAAACTCTAAAAACCAAGAGTGATTTAAAACAAATTTATATGAATTTAGAAATAAATATGAACAGTATTTACTCACCTGTAATACAGATGCTTTT